ATCGCAACCCTCAGTGTCGCGCCTGTACCGGACCGGGACCGGCCACAGGATCGCAACCCTCAGTGTTGCTCCCGCCCCTTGCTCAGCCAGTGAGTGGTCGGTCTGTATGTGGGATCCGAACCCTCGGCAGGAGCGCCACCACGCTTCCCAAGCGGCGCACTATAGCAGTGCGCCACCGGGCTGGCCCCTTAGGAGGCATTTAAAATTTGACTTTGGTGTCAAATGTTAAATCCCAGCCTTAGTTCGGCTACTTCTCTTTGGATCTTAAGGCAAACCGTTTCTGGTTGATTTAATTAAGAATGAGATTTTGTGAAGAGAAAAGGAGAGCAAGTTTTCTTTTTGGAAAGAATTTGCAAACTGCAGAGAAAGAAACCATTTCTTCTCTGAACAGCTTTGGTGGCTTTGTAACACTGCTGCTTCGTAGAGAGGCGAGACCAGAATCGTCAATAAGGAAAAGATAGTCCAGAGTTGGAACCATGATAGGGCAGAGCCAAATGTGAGAAATGATCAGTTTGTTTGGGATGCTTCCATCTGGAGAGATAATCTAAACAGGCTTTCCACGTGTGCACATGTGCGAGTGTATGAGAGAGGTCTCTCATTTTCAGGTAAAAAGAGAAGGTTTTAACTAGAAGTATTAGCCAGAGTTTGTTTATTATGGAAGAAAGACCAGTCCCCTGGTGGGTCTGTGGCATAGTGCATTGGGCAGCTCAGCACCAGGGAAGTTCAGCCTTCCTGGAAGGAGCCAGCACTGGCTCCCTGAGGTTTGGGGTAGGGGGAGTGAAGAGGTGGGATAGCTGTGACAGTGCAGTCCGGCACTGATGTGCTTGTGACTCATCAGAGGCTCTTTAAATGCAGATCGGATTGCAGGGGTGGGGGCAGGGCAGAGTCTGCATTTCCAGCCAGCTCCCAGGTGACGGCTGTGCCTCCAGCCTTCTCCACACAGACTACAGATAAGTTAATACTCCAATCAGTAAGTTCTTGTTTGCCCGTACTGAGTAGATAAAGGTTTTGGTCTGTGTTTTGTGTTAAGCTCTTGGTCTGACTTCTACTTTTCCTTTATTTCTTTAGGATACACTTATGCAGGCATTAGTATTGCCTCTTTATGGTATAAAAGCCAATGCTAAATGGAGTTTCTTTCGTGTAATTATTTTCTCATACAACACAAGTGTAAGGAGCACCTCATAACCGCCATCTTGCACAGCAGCCAGTAACCTGAACCCCAAACCCCTCTGTGTAGCTACAGTCTATGGAGGCAGAGACAAGTTCACAGGCAATTCAAAGCCTGGGGGAACGCAGGGTGTGATGGGATCTCGTGAGCGAGGGGAGGGTCTGCCTCAGCCTTGTGGGGTGCTGAGTGCACCACCAGGAGGAAACGGGCTGAATTAGAGCACCCAGCTGGGGACCTGGAGCGCAGAACCCCTGGCCGCTTGTTCCCTCCCAGAGAGTTCAGGGTTCCTGTTTCAAGCACTTAAAAGGGCTTCCCGTTTTCCAGAACTGGATGGATTAACCTGATAAAGCCCTCACTGGGGTCGAATAAATGAGCGGACATTGTATACGCTAAGCCGTCAGAAATCTAATTGGTTTGTTTATGCTACGGTGAGATGGATGGGAGGCAAATGTCTTAATGCCTGCTGCTGATGGATGCCTCAGCCAAAAGTTCCAGCAGTTTACATTAGAGCAAGACGCTGGCTGCTCGGTTTTTACTAATGCAGCTCAGAAGCTTCTAGTGTTTACAATAGCAGCAAGGTATTTGTATTTTTATAGGGATTCTCTCTCCTTTCATCTAATGTCGAAACATAGATAGACATGGCAGAGCTGGGTGCCTGTTCGGTTTCATGATCCAGAGGACCATTAACAGATAGCTGTCTTGCCCTTCCTCTTCCCAGAGTGTCCCGAGCTTCTCCCCTACCCAGCCCACTTCCATCAAAGTTGCCCTAGAAATCATTAGTTCCAGAAATGCATCCTTGCGGGGTGCGCGCCCTCCAGCTGTGCGGAGTATCCGCCAGAGGCCGTCCGCGGCTGACAGGTTTACCTTGGTATTCGTGAAGGATCCCAGACCTGAGCCCTCAGTGGTGGGAAAGCAGAACCACTTGTGCACTCTCCTCTTCTGCCATGGTGCTGCGGCCTTTATGTTTGAATTGGCTGATGCAAAACAAGAGTATTCAGAGATGCTAAATTGTTCAACAAAAGATTGGCCGGCAGAGCAGCCCCGCCATTGTGGAGCACCCTCGCCCAGCACAATGCCCTGCGCCCACAGAATGGGCAGCATTTTCTTTGCAGAAAGCTGGTTCCTGTGTTCTAAAAAGGTTGCAATTGGAGCTGTTTGGTAAAACTGGAACTCACAGAATTCTAGGCAGAAAGTTGTGATTAATGAAAGCCCAGGGAAAGCCTTACCTGATACGCTGGAGACTTCATTAGAGATTCTGCCGTAAGACGCAGAAGCATTTCACAGTGGATTAGCTGCCTGCAGAAGTGGGCTGCTTTTCCTCCTGAGCTAAATTGTTTAAATTCTACACCCTTCACTTCATTTGTTTGCTTCTGCTGGGTTTTCACAAGCGGGCCCCTGGGCATTGTATTTGTGCTTTCAGTCTGCTTGGCCATTCAGTTCACATTCCATATTTTTGTGTTTGTGTAACACATTCATAAATAACATTACATGCCATGAGATTTCAGCAAATTAACAAACTAATTTTTTTTCTTCCCTTCATGAACTAACACTTTGGGTTGTGGAATGTTGTCCTCAAAGTCATAAGGAAAAAAAAAAAAAAAAAAAAAAACCCAAAAACCAAAACAAAAAAGTAATCTTGCACTGAATCTGAACTGTGCTTTTGTAATAGCCTTTCAGTGGGGTGGGTTTTGTTCATCTTTGGTGGTGACATGCTGCAGTATTTGGGCACGTGAAGGGTAGCATAATTTACTTTTGTCACACTGAATGTTCCTGTTTCCTTTTTATCCTCAAGGTATTTCTTTGCTGTCCTGGCGATTCTAACAATCCTGGGTGTTCTCAATGGCCTGGTTTTGCTTCCAGTCCTCCTGTCTTTCTTTGGACCATACCCTGAGGTCAGTAATTACTCTGGGCATAGCATCCAATCCCACAGGCCACCTGAATGCTGTTTTTCCTGGTGCCACTCTAAATTTAGATATTTAGGTATATTCCCATTTGCTGATTGTTCACTTTTTCAGTAAACATCTCAGTAACAATGGCTTTTTTTCTCTTTAATAGCTTTGGGGGACGTGGTACTGGTTTGGTTTCTTTTTTTTAGACCAGTTGAGTGGCAGCCTAAGTCTTAGAGATCTGTATAAATGAGGACTTTCCACTCTAGATCAGCACCCGGGCTTGAACAAGAGTAAAGCGTGTGCATCTTGCATTTGCAGTGTATGAAGGTGAAAGGCAGTCCTCTTGCTCTAGCTGTGGGAACCGAGGGTCCTCCAGGTGGCAGGGTGGGGGAGACATGCACACAGGGTAGTATGCGGGGCCCCGGGGCAGGGGACGGAGGCCTGCGAGGAATACTGTGCTGTGAACTTTGAGCGTGGCCAACAGGTAAATACGTGGACGGTAGTCACGCTTCAATATGGAATCCCCTGACACAGGTAACTCCAGCCGATGGCCTGAGCCGACTGCCCAGCCCTGCCCCTGAGCTGCCCGCCAGCATCGTGCGGTTTGCCGTGCCCCCCGGTCGTATGAGCCACGGGTCTGACTCCTCTGACTCAGAGTACAGTTCTCAGACGACAGTGTCAGGCATCAGCGAAGAGCTTCGGCACTATGAGGCCCGGCAGAGCGCAGGAGGCCCTGCCCACCACGTGGTCGTAGAGGCCACAGAAAACCCTGTCTTCGCCCGCTCCACGGTGAGTCACCTCAGGGGGCGGGGGAGGGCCTTTCCCATGTGTCGGTGGCCCAGGTGATCCAGGGGAGCCCTGCTGCTCTGAGCAGACGTCACACAGATGGGATGCAAGGAGAAAGCACATGCCAGGTCACACCACGTGTCTGACTCTTCTTCAACTGTGAGAATGTTACCTTCCTTTGGTTTGATCTCATGTGGATCAAAACAGGGCAGGGGCCAGTAACGTCACCACACAGAACATTAATGTATACCTTGTTCAGGGTAGGTACAGCGTGAGCCTGAGGGCCGGAGGGAAGGCATCCCTTCTTCCACACCCCCACCCCACTCCACCCACCCCTGCCTTTGGGTACCATTTGGGGATGATACTTTTTAAAAACATAGTGGTATTTTTATTGCCAGCAGAAGTGATTTTTTTCTTCTCTCATTCCTGTTACCTTTAACTGCCCTCAGTGCGCAGTTCTTCTAATGACTGCTGTGTAAGCCTTCCCGGGAAGCCCTGTGGCTCTCAGCTCATGATCCAGGTGGAATAGGAGCGGACAAGCTGAGACCCAGCCCTGAGTCCCCAGCCCTGTCCTCCGTCCTGTGCTCCCAGGACGGTCTCAGCACCGCGGACCCCGGGAAGGTTCTGAGGCTCGTGTTGCTCCAGGGAGGGCCCCCTGCTGTCCCTCCAGGAAGTGGGTATTCCAGTCCCAGGCCAGAGCAGCCCTTCTGTGAAGGAGAGCAAGGCCAACCACACAACCTGAATTGTCCCCCTCTGGCCCCGTGACGGTGCCTGCTGCGCTGCAGTGTGAATCTGGTTTTGTTCAGCAGGAGCCTAAAAATAGGTACAAGCTGAACGACTTTGAAGTTGGTCACGGTCCTTTTGATTGATGTGGCCACTGTGTTGCTCAGTGCTTTGTGTGGAGACCCAGAGACGAGATTCCTAACAGTTGGACAGAGCCGCGCTGCCGATAGAACTTTCTGTGGAAGGGAGATGCGCTCTCTGCTCTCCAGTATGGCAGCCCCGGGCTGCCGCGGCCACTGAGCAGTTGAAATGTGGCTAGTGCAATGGAGGGACTGGATTTTGAATTTTAGTTCGCCTCAACGTCAAAAGCCACCTACATAAATTTCAAAAGTGCAGATACAGACAGACCTGCAGAGCCCTGCATTTGGGCCAGCCAGGGCCAGACGCTTAGCAGTTCTCAGAAAAGAGGAGCTCAGCACTGACCAGACCGAGCAGGGTGGCAGCAGGGTGGGGTGGCACATGGCAGGAGGGAGGCCGCTTGGATGCTGCTGGCCACAGCCCTGCATTTGTGGGCAGCGGCCAGCTGTGTTGGAGAAGCCTGGGAATAGGATCCAAGTAAAGCACTGCTCTGCTACGTCCTGGGGTTTGCTAACAGAGCAGGTTTTCCTTTGGTGGGTGGAAGCCCCACAGGCTCCCTGGTCTTGAATGAGACTTGGTTAAAGCCCAGAGGGGAGGGGTGGGGGCCGCGGGGGCCGTGCCCAGCCTGGGGCAGCACCTGCCAGCCTGTGAGAACCCGCCCTTGACCTCTGCAGGTAATCCATCCCGAGGGAAGGCATCATGCACCCTTGAACCCTCGACAGCAGCTCCACCTGGACTCAGGGGCCCTGCCCCCCAGACGGCAAGGCCAGCAGCCCCACAGGGACCCCCCCGGAGAAGGCTTGCGGCCGCCCCCCTACAGACCGCGCAGAGACGCTTTTGAAATGTCTACTGACGGGCATTCCGGCCCTAGCAGCAGGGACCGCTCAGGCCCCCGTGGGGCCCGCTCTCACCACCCTCGGAACCCGGCATCCACTGCCTTGAGCAGCGCCATGCCCAGCTACTGCCAGCCCATCACCACTGTGACGGCTTCTGCGTCCGTGACTGTCGCCGTGCACCCCTCAGCCGCCCCCGGGCCTGGGCGGCCACCCCGAGGGGGGCTCTGCCCTGGCTACGAAGACTACCCTGAGACTGACCACGGGCTGTTCGAGGACCCCCACGTGCCTTTTCACGTCCAGTGCGAGAGGAGGGACTCAAAGTTGGAAGTCATCGAGCTGCAGGACGTGGAATGTGAGGAGAGGCCCCGGAGAGGCAGCTGCGACTGAGGTGCGGCGGGACCCAGAGGGACGCAGAGACAGGGCCCTGGGCGTTGGCACATCCCAAACTGGACCCAGCACCTTCTGTCCCCAAGACAAGACTCATGTGTCCACATGCTGTCGTCCTTGGGGAGCCAGTCCCGCTCCAAATCGGGTCTCCTTCCCCCACTGTAACCTCCTGGGCGTTAGTGCAACCTGACAGGCACTAACAGCTGTCCCTGCAGCCACTGCCAGTCGTTCCGAAGTGCCAGAACAGGGCCGTGTGGTCGTGCACCACTCCCTGAATGGTCACAGAGTGAGCACGGGGTGTAGGCAGCCCCTGGTGGCCTGCGGGCCCCCACGCACCCCCGCCATCCTGATTCCTAGCACCGTAGATGGCCTTTGCCTGTTCTTGTGCTTTGCAGATACGGATTCGCACACCTGTTACTCGGTTTGACTTCCTTTTTTGTTTTCTTTGAAAGGGTGATTAAAATCTGAAGCAAAGAGGCCAAAGATTGGAAACCCCCCACCCCGACCTCTTTCCAGAACTGCTTGAAGAGAAGCGCTTGGGCGTTATGGAAAAGATGCGCTGTGTCCTGGCAGTGGTTGTCACTGTAGCCGACTGTATTATGTTGTGAAATGTTCCTATAGATATTTAAGAGGTGTACACATATGTAACATACGAAGGACCTATGTAAGGTAGCATGGTCTGGGGTTTCTCCACTCCTGCCCCAGAGCGGGGCGGCCACGGCGACACCCTCCCTGATTGTACATTGGTCTCTGTGCCACAACCAAGCTTAACCTAGTCTTAAATTTCAGCATATGTTACTGCTGCTTAAATTTTGTAAAATTTACCTGTATAATTCTATGCAAATATTGCTTATGTAATAGGATTATTTTGTAAAGGTTTCTGTTTAAGATATTTTAAATTTGCATATCACAACCCTGTGGTAGTATGACATGTTCCTGTTAACTTTCAAACACGCTATGCGTGAGAATTTTTTTAAGAGCAGATATGAAGAAAGCACGTTAATCCCGGTGGCTTCTCTAGGCGTCAATTGTATGCAGTTCTCTCTTTGGCTGTGTGTGTGTGAACACATGTGTGATTCCCCAGTGTTCTGTACTGTGATTTTTTTCGTCTTGTTTGTTTTATTTCTTTTCACTGTCTGCAAGTCTCTGATATAGTCAGGCTGGAAGAGTCGGGATATCTTTGTTGCTTTTTTTGCTGGTGGAGGACTAGACCTAAACATCCTCCTCCTCTCAAAACGGCCCAGGAAAAGCAGACTTGCTTCAAGTCCATGGCATCCAGATAGCCCAACTTGTGCTTCAGAGGAAGTTAAGTTCCTTCACGTGGATCGTTGTGACGGACGTTGGAACCTCGGGGTACAGAGCTCACACGTGCCCGACTTCACTGGTGTTAAAGTCGCAGGTGGCGTGCCTCCTGGGAGCCTCAGTGGGGCCTTGAGAGGATACCCTGAAAAAGTAAGCAGCATTGATCCCCTCTCATGACCAACCACACATATAGTCACCCCCAAAATTTAAGAGAAGATTGCAGATCTTTTGGAGACCGTAGCCCTGCTACAGGTAGAAAAACCAGTTTTGTTAATTCTGGGCCCACAATAAACCCAGAAGTGATGTTTCAAGTCCCCACAGTTTAAACTCCCTCTCTTCCTAGATTGAACAGCCTAGTTGGTGCTTTCTGGATCAGTTTGCATCATCTTTAAAAATAAGTAGCATCCAACATGGTGACGCAGAGTCAGAAGTTCTGTAGGATATGAGCTTCAGAAGGGTTCTCAACATGTTCCTGTTGCGGGGGGCGCACGCTTCCTAAGTAAATCCTTTCCTCACCGTTATTAGCGTTCTTCCAATGTGACATTTATTGACGAGCAGGAAGATGCTAACTGCATACACCCCACGGAAGAAAGTGCGTGGCGGCAGATCTCTCAACCAGGCCCTGTTTTAGAGGTTTGCAGGGGTATCGATTCTGTTCTCTTGATCTGAGGTTTGGACTCCCTCACCTCTTAGCCGGAGACCAGCAAGTGTCAGGGAAGCGCTCGTGTCCAGCTGCCCTTCCAGATCAACACCAGCGACTAGTTTATAGACGAGAAGTCACAGGAGGGGCCGAGTCCCCACATGGCCGATGCCTCCGCTACTGAGAGCACAAGCAGCGGCTCGTGTCGTCTCCTCCTGTCTCGCATCCAAAGTCTTAGCAGAAAGGCAGTGGGCCCCCTGTAGTGCCAGCAGCATAGTGACCTCAGACCTAACGCTTACCGCAGAACTTGTAAGGTGCTGATTGGGGCCCACCTGTGGCTGCCAAGGGCCACACCACCACTGTTGTCTCGGTGCCTTTGTCAGCCAGTCCGTCTGCCTACCTAACACCCAGCTCTGCTCAGAAAACATAAGTCCTGCGTTGAGGAGAAAGACGGTGCAAAATCCTGCAGGTGGTTCCCTCCGGCTCTTGGTGCCTCGCGCCTTTCCTGAGCCCAGCTTGTGTGGGACCCGAGAGCCCGTGGGGCCCCAGTTTCTGCACAGCACTGAACTTTCTCCAATAGTCACATTGGCAAAGGGAGAACTTGGGGGCTGGCAGTCAATTAGAATTTTTCTCTTTTTTAAAATAGTTTTATTTTGTCTGTCTTGTTTGTTCATTTGGATGTTTTAATTTTTTTTAAAATCTTTGCTGATATTTATAATTTTGTATCATAAGAATGTTTTCCTACAGTATTTGTCATGCCAGTTTATAACAAAAAAATTGCAGGGATTTTATTTCTATTGGAAACACTATTACAGCTGTTTTACTTTTGAACAGAATTTTATTTGTATAGAGTGCTTACTAATGTTAAATAGTTCAGAGTATATAACATTTACATTAAGGACTCATGGTAGCTTTTAGTGTAAGGAGTTTAAAGGAAATAAATATTCAAACTGGGTCTCATTGTCTGCCAATTTTGGTGGAGATGAGTTTGTGTCATTTCAATTACAAAGATAAAAGTATGCCATATAATTTATTTATATGAAAATTTATTTTTGTAGTGTACATAGTAGTCATCAAGTCTTTCGACAGAAGTATATTTTTAAAGAATTTATATGTGATGGATCCATGATGTCTGGAACTTTGCTAAGACATGAGTGGGGCACTCTTTTCATTGTAAATTACAGCAAGAAAAAGAACATGTTTAACAGTGTTAAGAGGGTGAGAGCAGCGGGGTGTTCATGCGGTTGTGAGACGTGTACTGTTACCATTGGTGACCTAGTGTGGTCCGCATTTTAAACCCTGGAAGGTAAAAATGTACAAACTCTCTAAATATTAATGTTCAAACACTGATAGAAATTCTAACATGAATAAAAAATAATATAACTTGTTGGTTATGTCCTTGTTTAGAGGATGTGTTTTCTTTAACCTACTGTACAGAGGCAGAATTTCAGGCTGACATCAACTCTGCTGTTTTGCTTGCCGACCTTGTCAAATACTCTGTTTTGGGGGCAATTCTATGTTTTTATTTTTTGACACCAAGGAAGTTCCCAATTTACCCTTCAGAGTGACCCCTTCTGTCATCTCTTAGCATACTTATTTTTCTGACATTATGCCTAATAGAGGAAACATAAAACCAAATTCAGTGCTTATTATGGGCAGTGACAGGTCGTAGTTCAAAACAGTACGCTGTGCTGCCAGTGATACGGGACCGATCAAACCTGATACAGAATATTTTTTTCTGAGTGTTTATTGATACGATTTCATCTCAGTCATGGAGAAAAACCCGACCAGGAATATCCCTGTTTTACAACTGTAAGCAAGGAGTGGTGGGGAAGAACTCGAGACCTGCATCGGTAGAAGCACGTGGCACATCCCACAGGCACCTCCTGTTTCCGTGCAGGTTTGTCAAGGGACAGCCGTGCCCATTCACATACCTGGTGTTAGCGGCAGCTGTCACGCTGCAGCAGCAGAGCTCAGTGGTGGCACAGACTGGATGGTCTGCAGAGCCTAACATCCACCATCTGGCCCTAAAGAAGAACCTGCCGATCCTTCAGGCTGCTCGTGTGGTCCATGAATCAGCAGACCTTGGAAGCTTGCTAGGAAAGCCAAATCTTCAGCGCCACCCAGACCTGCTAACTCAGAATCTGGGAGTGAGGCCCAGGAATCTGTGCTTCTCATGCACCAGCAGAGGCAATCCCTAAATTCCTTCCAGCCGAATGTGGCCATGGTTCTATAATTTGACTCAGGCTACACGGCCCATGCAGGCCAGATCTGGAAACAACAGAGATCCTGACTCCTGTGTGGTCTTTCCACAAAAACACATGTTCCTCTGTGGGAAAGAGTCGAAACCTGTGAACTTTGCATTTGTGCCTGGGAGTCCAGAGAGAGGCATTCCCTTTTAGTGCTCTGCCACAGCGGAGAAAAAGGACCTCCGCAGAGGGTGCCGGCGCCTGACCCTGCAGGCAGGGGAGGGAGGTCCAGGCCAAACCAGACCCTCCTGCCCCTGCTGCTGAAAGGGCTTCCAGCTCATCCCGTTCATGACTAACTCTGACTTGGGCAAGTTGCTTGAAACGTTGGAGCTTCTGTGTTGTCATCTATAAAGTAAGCATGGTGAATGTTCCTCGCAGACTTCTGAAGGTCGAAGGCGATGATGGTTGTGATGAAGTCTGGACTGCAGGAAAATGGGGACAGCTCATCCTGTGGGTCCCATACTGAGTTCTGGTTCAACCGCCCACTCTTGAGCTCAGAGTTCCCATCTCGAAGGTAACAAGGGCCCTCGTCCAGAAACGGGGAGTTGCTATGGGAAGATTTTGCACTGACGGAACCTCTTTGGAGGTATTTGAGATAATATAGTAAACTCTGACCCAGGAATAAGTAATTCACATAACAGGATGTCCTCCATAATGGATACCTTACGTGGAAAAAAGTGCTAGGCAGGGTTTTATGTCTTACAACCTCCTATTCCTACCTCCTGGGATAACCAGTGGTCTGCTCCTATGCCCTTCGGTGCTGAATTTCATACATAATGCTAACTTGGCTCACTCGAGTCATGGGAAATATGTACTCCCTGAATCTGAGTATGGAAAGTATTAATTGCTTTAATTGGAATTCAAATTGGGAGAGTCTTTCTTTGAGACGTGCTTTATACCACCAAAATAACCATTCATTACCATCCAATTTTATATTCTGTATAAATGACATATAGCTAAGTAAGCTAACTTAGTTTTTAATCATGTTGGCCTAGGGAGAAGTTTTTAACCAGATTTGTATCCCAAAATCTGCCAGATTTATTCAGGACTTAGGTAAACATAAGGCCCCATTTTTTTTGGCACAACAAATGTATTTAACAGCTTTGGGAGAGCTGCGTGCTGCTAAATTTCGGGCAGCAGCCACGTTGATGTAAAGGCAGGTGTTTCATTTTTGGTAACTGGTAACTAGCCTCCCAAAAGGAGAAGAGGAGATGGCCTATTAATCATCCAAAACGAATATTTGCCAAGTTTTAATTACTTTTAATGAAGGCTGCACATAATGAGAACATGCCTCAAACACGAATCTGTTTAATCATTCACATGTCGTGATGGAAGGCACGTTGAATGCCATTTTCTGCATAGGTTCCCTGCCAGGAAATTATAGCAACTGCCATCATAAGGATCTCGAAGGCATACTCTTGCCTGTTAGGAACACAGTGGACCTCAGGAAACAGAGGGACCCAGAGCTCTCTCTTACAAAAAGCGTGAGCAATAGAGATGGCCCAAATTAAATTTGGCATGGCCAGAGCATGCACTTTCTTTCTACATGGCAGGGTGTTTTTATTATGTTGATTCCTGCCTACTGTGTGGGAATTCCCTTTCTTGGAGCAAAGGGAATAGGGCCCTTCAGCTGAGATGGCGTAGAGGGAGACACCTTCGTAGAGATCGTATTTGCCCTGAGAAGGAGTCAGACCCCACCTAACAGTGTCACCCAGAAGAGGCAACCACCAGCACAACTTTAGCACAGTCGTTTGAACCCCTTTTACATTCAGTTTTCCTAGAGAGTGTCATCTATCTGCTTCCTGTCCACAGGACATGAGGCTGACATACGAAGTGTGATGTAACCTTCCAACCAGGCAAAAAACAAAGTCCAATAGGCCCTCATAAGCAAGCAAGCACAGGAAATGCCTCTGTCAACAGCACCACGTGTACACAGTGGCAGCAGCTTGTATTCTCGTGGAAAGGGGTGGTGGTGAATAGTAACCTGTTTTATTTTTAATCCTGTAGATGGAAGAGATTGATGAGCAAGTTCTGACAGGTGAGTTATTATCTAATAATGAGATTGCAGCATTCAGCCCAAGTCAAGATGCCAAAAGAGTCATCTTCGTAATTACAGGTTCAGTCAACAGCGGTGGTAGGTGGACCCGTGTGGAGAGCCTCTTTTGCAGCAAGAGAAGTAAGATGAGGCAGGAATAGAGAACAGCAGGAGGCTCTCTGCCGTGCATCAAGAGAGGACAACTGTCCATCAGAGAGGTCTAGGTCAGGTGTCCAGAGCGTGAGGCCAGTATTGTGGAAAAGGCCAAAGCACTCTACCACCCAAACCAGGAAAAGGCCATTAAAGTGAGGGAAGAGATATGAAAAAAGATAGAGTGGAATACTGCCAAGAGAGGGTCAAAGACCTTTTCCTTCAAAAAACCCACAGGCTGCAGGAGCAGGTGCCAGCCCACGGTACTATGACTGTGCCCCGGCGTCCTGGGCACACTTGGTCAGCCCATCAGCGGACGCTTTTTCTTTTCCCACACAGCTCCCACCTTACCTGGCATCGGGGAAGTTTCTCATGAACCATGGAAGATGAAAACTGTAAAAGACTATATTAGTCCGTTTTCTGTTGCTTATAGCAGAATACCTGAAACTCAGTAATTTATAAAGAAGTAAAATTTATTTTTCACAGTTTAGGAAGTTGGGAAGGCCGAGGTCCAGCAGGCACATGTGGTGAGGGCCTTGTTCTTAGTGGGAACTCTCTGCAGAGTGCCATGGTTGTCACATGGCGACACAGGTCATCACGTGATAAGAAAGGCAAGAGCTGCTTCCTTTCCTTATAAAGTCCCCAGTCTACTCCCTGGTAACCCATCACACTGTTAACCCGTTAACTCATGAACGGACTAGTCCATTCACAAGGGCATGTTCCTCACGATGCAATCACCTCTTAAGGGCCCCGCCTTTCAAATGCAATACTGGGGATTAAGTTCCAACATGAGCTTTGGAGGGACAAACATTCAAACCATAGCAGAGAACTTGCCGTCTGGCATCCACCTGGAGAAGTGGCGTGACTTGCTCGGTGTGGCCAACACCTCAGCGGTGGGGTCAGATCTAGAACCTGGACCTCTGTAGTCCAGTCTGATGTTCTTACTGTCTCTGTGTGTCCTCATTTGCCCCATTCGCCTTCTGTGTCGATTTCAAAGGTACGGGCAGGGCGACTGCTGTCTACACGACTCAGTACGAGAGCTTCGGGCCTCAGCCACCCGTGCGCGTGTGCATCACGCGTGCACACTGTACACGTCTGCGCTGACGGCCGGCAGCTGCAGTGCAGGAGGCAATTAGCAGATCTCTGAACTGTCCTTCTGATTACACTTAAATTCCACGAGCTAATTGGCTAAAATGTTCCTCCTTAATTAGAAGCAATTAATACGTGAAACTAGGTTTGCATTTCACAAGAGAGTTTGCATTTCACGATTGAAATCTCATAGTTCATTTACTAATGGTCTCTAATGGCCTGTAATCATAAGGCGCACACAATTAAGGTGGGATTTTCAAAGTGTGAGGAAGGAAGGAAGGAAGGAGGGCTGAATTTATGAATGATTCTTCCACTGCTCAGAACAGAGCCAGTGCCCACCTTGGGCTGTAAAACACATGCGCCACCCTCACGTGCCTGCCCGAACACACGCGCGCACACAGGTCCCGACCTGCCACCTCGACGCTGCTGGACTTCCCGCTGGCCGCTGTCACTCTCTCACTCAGTCCGGTCACACACTGTCGGCACCGGTGCCCATAGAAATCTATCCAAAACCAAGGAGGTGGGCCCCCTCCTAGGCAGCAGTGCCACCAGTAACACAAGCCACCGTTCTTGCTGATAGGTGTCAGGCCGTGGGTTACCTCGGGGAACAAACCCGCTAAACAAGGCCCGGCACAACCTGGGAAGGAGCAGATAGGCGCGGGGACGTGCAGGAGGAAAGAGAGACGGCAGGAGGTGGAGCAGGGCAGCGAGGAGAAGGCAGGGACTGAGGAGGTGAATTAGGGACAACAGAAGGAACAGGCGACGCTTGAGGGAAGGCGAGGCGGGTGGCATTCTGGAGCCCTCTCCTGAGATGCTGTCCTACATGGCAGGAGGTGGAGCAGGGCAGCGAGGAGAAGGCAGGGACTGAGGA